TTTGAAACTGCTTTATCGTAGAGATGTTGCATTTGATTTAATTAGTTACTCGGATGCCGACTTTGCCGGATGCAAACTTGATAGAAAAAACACCAGTGGCACTTGTCACTTTCTTGGTAACTCATTAGTATCTTGGTTTAGCAAAAAGCAAAATTTTGTTGCTTTATCAACGGCCGAAACTAAATATATAGCTTCTGGAAGTTGTTGTGCCCAAATACTTTAGATGAAATAACAATTGGAGGATTTTGATTTGCATTATGATTATATCCCTATTAAATGTGATAATACTAGTGCCATCAATTTGAGAAAAAATTCGGTTCAACACTCACGAACAAAACATATTGAAATTCAACATCATTTTTTAAGAGATCATGTTCAAAAAGGGGATATTGTACTTGAATTTGTAAACACCGACAAGCAATTGACGAATATTTTCACAAAACCCCTAAACGATGATCGCTTCAATTTTATTCGTGGCGAGCTTGGAATGTCGATTTCTACTTAAAAAGTTTTGTTATGACTGTGAAATTTGAATTTTTGTTAAAATGATATACGTGTATTGCTACATTGATATGGAAACATTTATATCAGTTGAATACCCTCACGTCCTCCATACATTTATTCTCCTTAACAGTTTGTTATTCTCAACTGTGTAATTTTTTTTTTTTGGTTCTGCATCTTGAGGTAAAATTAACTTTGCATACATTGATTTTTTTTTTAAACTCTCATGGTATTTGTTTTGCATTACCATTCCAGCAACACCAACATCCCATTAAGTTTAATTTCTACTGGTATTATTTTATTTTATTTTTTTATTTTGATATTAGGTTTAATTTCTTTTATTTTTATTTTTTTCTCATTATTATTTTTTGTTTGGACTTAATTTTCTTATTCTTTTCTACTTTTTAATTTCATTTTTCAGTACTTAAACATAAAAACAAAAACAAATCAAAATACAAATATTTACATAAAAAATAAAATAAAAAACACCCTTCATTTTTTTTACAGTTATACGCCGATCAAAATAAACATATTTACATAAAAACAAAAAAAAAAACCTTCATTTTTTTACGGCCATACGCCAATCTTATTTACTCGCCTTTTTTACCGCTCTCTTCTTCCTTTTATCACCTTGGGCGACGCTTGACGTCCTTGCCTCCGTGCTTTTGTCGGGAGCGAGTACTTCCCGCCGACTATCAAAAGCCAAGAACGACGTTGCTCCAAATCGGACCATGGAGGTGGTCTTCCGTTTAAGCTCTTTATTTTCGACCTTCAGTGCGCCTATCTCTGCTCGCGTATCCTTATACATGCGTTGGAGCAGAAAGAGTTGGGCGTTGACCTGATGGAGTTCACTGGTCCTGTTCTGTAGTCAGTGAACTAATTTTGTGACTACAATCACCGTCTCCATACAGAATGTCAGTGTAAAATGATTGGCTTCAATGTCTGATTGAGCTACCATTATTTGCTCAATCGACATCATATGAAGGTTGGGAAGAGTAGGAGCCGGGGCACTCGGCCCAGCAGTGCTTACAGGATCATTCAGATCCGAAAAGAGAGTAAGGAGACGGGACAAGGCCATGTAGTAAGAGAGAGAGATGTAATCGAAAGGAGGGTCATTTTTAGCAGCCTTTCTGCTCTGTTCAGTCTCTCTGTTTTATCTCTCTCACGCAGAAGATGAAAGGGATGGAAGCGAATGAAGAAGAAGAATGCGAAGAGAGTGATTAAGAAGAAGACGGAGGAGAAGACGACAAGAGGGAGAGAGAGCCGAGGCAGCTGATTGACCCGTCTCGCTTTTGTCAGTCGACTGACGCAAAAGCGATGACGCGTGTTCGACGCGATTTTCGACAGAAAAGAGATGTGGGCCCTATATATATATATGTATATATATGTTTTGATTATCTATTTTTTTATGTCATTTATCACTATCATTTTCCTCCTCCTCCTCCTCCTCCTCCTCTTCCTCCTCCAGATTCTGACCCTTGATTTCCTTTTGATAATGTCACAAGGGGAGAAAACTTATGATGTTATGTATTATGGTATTATTTTCAAATTATGGTATTATTTGAAAACTAATCTGATGTTATTTATTATGGTATTATTTTCAAATTATAGTATTATTTGAAAACTAATCTGATGATTATGTATTTATAGTTTGATATCTTAGTCTCATATCATGTCTCTAGTTAAAACTTATTTATTACACATATGCTAACATATGCATTTAAAAATGAATTCAGAGAGCGTGATTTGAGGAGGAGCTTTTCTTACTTCCAAATCAAATCAAAACATCATTGTGTACCATCATTAAAAAAGGGGAGATTGTTAGACTTATTTATTTTGATGATTTATTTAATTATGTTTTTAATTTATTTGGAAGAGAAAATTAGAATCAAAATTTATTTTGATGATTTATTTGAAAAAAAAAATAGAATCAACATTTATTTTGATAATTTATTTGAAAGAGAAAAATAGAATCAAAATTTATTTTACCACATTATTTCTCACCTAAACTTTTATCCTAAATGTTGTTAAAATGTATTTAATATTTGCTTAAATCAGGAGTTCAAACAGCCCAAAAACAGAAGTTCAAACAGCCCAAACCAGAGGTTCAAATAGCCAAAAACAAAAGTTCAAACAGCTCAACATAGCAGCAGGACAAAACGTTCAAGTGGAAGATATTCAAATTAGTAATGATGGAGTGGAACATATTCAAATGAATACAACGACTATAAACGGCTATAAGTTTCATTATATATACCAAAGCCTTTGATGTAAACAAGTTACAAAAAAAAACTAAAAAATATTCTTTGATCTATAATCACTTACATCTATTCTCTGAAAAATTCTCTGAGAAATGTTCTTCAATTTTTTACATCTTCTTTCAGAAATTATATACTGAGACGTATAGCTTTAAGCTCATATTTCCTGTGTAAGGTTTACAGAAAAACCAGAGCTTCATTTTTATATCTATCTTTGAGAGATAATTCTTGTAGCTTTCTGTGAAAGCAAAAACACATTCTTTTCAACCTTATAAGAGTGTAGTACACTCAGTGTTCTTAATTTAGAACTGTGGAGGATTGGTCCATCTGTGAAAAGGTTGCTAGCACCCTGTGAAGCTAGAGTATAGTGGAAAATCTCAAGTGAAACTTAAGGAGTGGACGTAGACCGAGTTGAAGCCTAACCACTATAAATTTATTTGTCTCTCTCCCTTATCTCTTTATTTTATTTAAATTGTCATTACTATATTTCACATTTTCACTGTGCTAAAATTATTAACTAACATAGTTATTAGAACACTTGTTTTAATTATTTTTATTCCATTAACTATATTTATCTATTGTGCTAGTCATAATATTTTATTAGGATATTATTATTTTTATTTGTAAAAATCTAATTCACTCCCCCTCTTAGGTTGTCTTTTAAGTAACAAATTCTTTATTTATTTTGGTAAATACTCCAACAACATCACTTCCAGTGAGCGTTCAAGGCCTAACCAAACTCCGAAAGTTATATATGAGCCAATGCGCTCCTGAATTGGCAAGGCGATGTAAAGAGATAAATGGGGAAGATTGAAAAAAGATAGCTCGCGTACCAGACACATTTGTGTTCTCTCTATGAAATGCATGGTATGTTTGATTCTTTTTTTACTTCATTAGATTAATCTCATGATTATTGTAGTTTTATGATGCTTGTCAACAATACAATACATGAATGTAGCTGATGATATGATCCTTGCATGTCTATTAATCACTAAAACTCATAGCAGAGTCGTATTGAATCTGTGTTACTCTGTTTTTGAACATTTTATATTCACCAAATAATAAATGTATTCCAAACCCAACTTTGACAACTTATCAGTCACATTTCTTCAAAATCTGCATATTTGTGTATGTTAGGTGACAAAAAACATTCAACAATGTGTTTTTTGTTTTTTTAATTTTTTTTTTTCATTTTTCATGTTTTCGGGACCAAAAATAATGAAAAGTTTATAAGCACCCATCGTTTTCATACCGTTTTTATTTGTGTGAAAACAGTTTTTGAAAATTCGGAAAAAATTATTTGGTGTTTTCTAATGTTAGTCTATTATTATACTTTAGCATTGTTTAGTCTATTATTATACTTTAGCATTGTTTATTCTTTAGTTGTTACTTTAGCATTGTTTATTCTTTAGTTGTTATTACTTTGTATACTTTAGCATTAAGTTGTTATTATTATGTTTGTTTGCTTTATGCTTTCGGCTCCGTGCCTCGCGTCTCGCATGCCTCGCATAGGCTATAAGAAGCGAGCTAAGCTCCCCTTGTAATTACACAACAAATTCAATATACATATACCTCATTTATTTTCTCTTTCATCTAAAACATTGGTTGGTATCAGAAAATGTATTAGAATACAATTTTTGAAAACAATTCATCAAATGAGTTTTTTGCATTTTTCTGGAAATTAGAATACACAACTATTTAAGAGTAATGCTAGGCTTTATAAAAGAAATATCATGAAAAGTTTAATGAAAATTTTCCACTCTTGAATTACACATATAATAAAACACCATACACTACTCAATGGATGAAAATTCTTCATGAAACATGCCATGATATTTCTTTCATGAAACCTAACATTATTCACTATTTAAATCATTAGTGCCTATTCAACATGTCACTTAAGTTGATATTAAGGCCTTGTTTGGAAACCCTCATTTTTAGCCAAAAATTTATTAAATTAGCCAAAAAGCCAACAACCCATACAAAAAAGTCAAAGATTCTCTTTTCTCTCTACTTTTTGCACATCTTTTCGTAAAAAATTAAAAAATTATCCCAAACATACTAATTTTTTTTAGCTCATATTTTAACCAAATAATCAAAAAATTACTAAATTAGCATGTTCTCAAACGAGGCCTTAGGCTTTCTTATAGTAGAGATGACAATAACAAGGCTTGGAACATAAAAAATCTCAACATTTTGCTCAAAAGCGTCTATACTTGGTCAAGGGATCAAAAAGAAGAATGCAAGCAAAACCCAAATATTATTGAGAGTCACATAACAAGATAGAAGACATGATTATTCATGAATTCGTCAAGATTTGTTGTTCATACAATTCTTGTGTACACCTTTAGATGTAGAAGATATCCAACAACAAATAAACACTTTCTCAAGAACAAAACACATTCAGCATAAAGAAGGAAGATTACTCAATACCTCTTCTTCAGAACTATGCAAAGCTTTAAAGGTTCATTAATTCACACGGTCACATGTCTTTCTTATCTCTCCCTTTTGTCCTGTTAAAACCTCTATTTCACCCATCTTTATCATCGCATCAACAAACTTCTTCTTCCAGGCCAATGGTTGGACTGCATTGGCTATCACTTGCTTTCTAGTAAACGTATTTGTCAACAGAGTCTGATCAGACGTGAACAATCCTTTGTTTTGGAGTAGTCCCTTGTAGTATTTGTTATCTAAACTAGTTGGTGTAAATCTGTCCATGACAACAACAGTTGGTTCTGCTTTGTGAACACCGACACATTCACTTTTTAACTTCATGGCCAAGTGGAAATCCAATGTTGGGTCATGTGTCCCAGTTTTGCTAAAATTTACATGCCTCCCAAGTAGCGATGAGCAGTGTGAAACTCCTATTGAATGTCCTCCTACACAAGGGAGGATAAAACCCTTTATGTGTCGTTTGATAACATTGAAAGTTTTGGAAACAAGTTCTCTTTTTTTTCTTCTTTTTATATTTATTTAATAAAAATCAAAAACAAAAACTTGTTCGGTATGCAAAAATATTTGAAAACAAAAATAAACGAACATATTTGATGAGTTGCCAGTGAAGGTAGACGGATTAAGTGGCTAACGGTGGGGCTGGAGGTGGCCAAGTGCCGCAGGAGGTCAAAGGGTGGCTGCAAGTCACAGGAAATGAGCCGTTGGTAGCCAGAGCTCGTCAGCGGTCAAACTAGCGGAGGTCGCTGGTAGCTGATGGCCGAAGGTGGCAGGAAAGAGATAAGAGAATATAAACTTAGCTTGTGTGAGAATATAAACTTAGCTTGTGTTTGGTGTAGAGTGGCGTTCTAATCATGACTCCACACCCATATTTGAGTATGGTATTTAGATACAATTTTTAAAAATTAATTTCACACTCACTTTTGAAAACTCGTTTCATGTGGAATTTTGAATTTTGAAATTTGGCATACCCAATTGTCCTCCCAAACGTCCAGTCAGTTGACCGGAACAGTGTTATTTTTATTTTTTTATTTTTTTTGAGGGAAATTAGCACCTATTATTTTTTTATATTTTAAATAAAAAATATTTTCAGAATTTTTTACAAATTTTCATGAATTTTAAATAGAATTTTGGGTTGTATGTTTAGTTATAAGTTGTAAGTTTTTGAATCAAATATCATCTGTCACATCAAAAATTCCAAACTCAATTCAAAACTCATAACCAAACAAATTTTTCACACTCAAATCATAATTCCAAAACTCACAAATTCAAAATACAACTCTATTCTCAAATCATAATTCTAAAACTCTACCAAACGCTACCTTACTTTTTTATAATTAAAAAAAAAAAGTGAAAATGCTTTTTTCGTTTCCAAAAAAATGGAAATTTTGCAATCAATTTCACTTTTTTGATAACAAAAACAATATAAGAAATAAGTTTTCGTTTCTAAAAAAACAAAAAAATGAAAACAAAAACAGTAAACAAGAAATATAAAGCATTGCCAAACGAGGCCAATGATTGGAGGTACGAAACTGGTGACATCAATACTATTAACATGTTAAAAATCAAGAATGACAGAGCAGTGACCAACCTGAGAGAGTGACCAAGTCTTCGAGCGATAAGCCTTTATTGGCAAACATTTGTACAAGCAATTGAACATTGGCGGAAGGGGGTGGGAGGTTAAGGAGAGCGTCTGATTCTCGAGAGATCTTTCCATCTTTCCTTCCACCACGAACTTGATAGCGCTCAAACTTGCCAGACTAATAAACAAGTGAAAAGCAGAGAGTAATTAGAATGGAATTAACATTCTTGATGGTTTCTAAGTAGTAATTCATTTTAATGCAACTTTACCAGATGAACACTCTCCCTAGTAGCAAAAGTGAGAATGTCGGCACAAGACACTACTCCAGGACATTTATTTTCCAAAACCTCTTTGATTTGATCAATCAGTTCGAAGCCTTTGACACTAGGATTGTTAGGAGGAGCATCTTTCTCTGCCTTATTTACCGGTGTCGAGTTTAGTAGGATTGACCCATCACATCCCTGTGTTTAGAAAAACAAAACAAAACAAAAAAACACTCGAGAATAAGAATGTGTTGTATTCAACTACTTCTGTTTCAACACACACACCATTGATACTAGTAAAAACTATAAGTTCTACTCACCCTCACAAAGCAATCATGAAAATGCATTCTTATTATCCTCGCAGGTACTCTTTGATCTGCACTTGTGAAGTTTTCCATCATATTGGCGATAATCTCCTCGGCCTGAGGACATGATCTGTGGTAGTATTTATGCTTTAAACCTTCCACCACAGCACCAACACTGAGCGTGGAAAGTCCTGTAGCAAGAAGACAGAGAAGTCCAAGACACTTCATTGATGGTTTTCTTGAAATTTTTGATACTCAAACCTCACTCCTTTAAAACTATCCTCTTTTCCAACATCTCTAATAATGGTGGACGAGTCCATCTATTTGTAAGCTACATGGTGCACGTTCCTGGCTCTTCAATGATTGGGAACTTGAAACACTTCAACCACAAGCTTTCAAAGCATTGTGTAACAAATAAGTAATATATATATATATATATAAGTCTAGTACAAGTTAATGCTCATTTCCATTTTTTCGTCTGTCTAAGAAATTGATAGTAGTTGTGACTTTGTGAGATAACTTAAAGTACATGGTATCTGTTGCAATATCTTGAATCCCCACACCCACTTTTTGGTTGCATTTTCAGAATTTATTTTCTGAAATTTTTTTAAAACTAGTTTGGTAAAAAAATTTAAAAAAACATTCATTTTTTTCATATAGTTCTCTTTTTTGGAGTGGAAATAATTTTTGAAAATTCAAAAATATATTTTTTGGTGTTTTTGTCCAACTAGTCTCTGATTTTTCAAAAAAATTCAGAAAACATGTTTTGAAAACACAACCAAACAGACTGCCAGTGCTGATCGGCTTTGACTTGGTCAAGTAAACATTGAGGACCAAATCACAGCAGCTGTGTTAAAGTATGATACAAGATGCACCTTTTATGAATATGCTATGATCTTTCGTTGGACAGTCAAGTATAGAAAGCTACACATCTATTTTGATAAACTGCGCCATTCAGTAAGATTATCCAATTTTCTTCTTTCATACTCTATTTCCCTAGTTAGAAATTTTCATTAACAAATCCTGACAAAGATTTCTTTCATGCATGCCAATAATACTTCGACTCACACAGTGGCACTTATAATCTAAGCACGGACACTTATAAGAAGTTGACATATCTATGTCGGACATCAACACTTTTGGACACGTGTCTAATACTCTTTTTTCCGTGTCCATAATTAAAAATAACAATCTTAATTTCGGGCATGTATCCAGCACTCATTTTGCGACATCTCCATCACTTCTTGCCATGTCTATCACACTTCTTAGACATTTACTAATTTATGATTTCAAAGTAAAGAATTTGACAAAAATATCTTATACCCATAAAAAATTTATATCTACAAAGAATAATCTTATAAAAGTTTGACATAAAATTAAATGAAAAATATACTATAGAAGTTTAGCATAAAATTAAATGAAAAAGATATGTAAATCTTTTAACAGATGACTAAGGAGGACAAATCAAATGTCTACTATGTCTTGTAATTATTACGGTCCAGTAGTCTAAAATTAATATAAGACTTAGTACAAAATAATTATTTAATTTTGTATATATTATTCATATTTATAACTATATAATCTAACATATTCCTAGATAAACTAATATCAAGATATAATTATTTGTGGTGTGCTCAAACCACGTCTGTATCTAACCTTTTTGAAATTTGATGTGTCAATGTGTCTGTGTCGTGTTGTATTTGCGTCCTCCATCTGTGTCTATGCTTCATAACTTATAATAGAATATTAGGACATAGTCAAAGACCAAGCTAACAGAGTAGGAAGGAAAACCAACCAGAATCATATACAAAAGATGGTGAGTGTTTTCTAGCTGGATTGTTCTCTCATACACTCAACATAAAGAAAAGCTGTATATGTTTCCAGGAACAAGAGAAATAAAAAAAAAAAAAAAACACTTAAATAAATTAATCAACAATCTGTACTAAAATCGAAGGCCATAAAAGACAATAAGGCAGTCCAAATAGATTCCAACAATTAGTTTTTAGGTACACCAACATAAATTTTAACCAAGGTGATTCATAGCTTAATAAAACACTCTGAATTATTTTTTAGCAGTAATAATGAAATTACTCTACCATCTCGAACCAAGGAATGCTATAAGGAATGAGTCTTGAACTATGGCACTATGGACCCCTTTGTTTTTTTGTCAGTTGTGCCTGACACAGCCACTAATGAAATAAAATTCAGTAACATTCAAGATCCAAAATTATCGGCAGTAAAATTCAAAATGTAAAGTACAGTTTCATTGCGGTATTCTTGGTAATTTTCTGCTTTACCATTTACCCATTTCTCCACTGCATTTATACAGGGAAAGATGTCAAATAATAAAATAAAAATCACACCTAATCCAAATCATCAATGCTTAAAATAATTTAGCAAAGTTTTGGATTATGCTTCACTACGACATTCTTGGTAATTTTTTTCTGTTACCAATAACTCAATTCATTACTAAAATTACACAGGGTGAATGTTGAACTATGTAACAATTACAATTGATCCTAAATGAATTAGGATGAATAGAATTGCACAGCATGATCACCTGATGAATATTCAGACTGACGCATTCAATCCTAGAGATCACAATTGGAGAATATCAGCTCCAAAAGAAAGCAATTATGGGCACAACATTGAGATGTCTTTTGCCATTTTATATCTTCCCACTTAGAACTCAACAAGGCTTGTCTTGTCTCCATAAACAGCTGCTACAACTAAGTTTAGCATGAATCTAACAAATGTAAGCCAGCATACCATTTCAGATAACATAGATAGCCCATTTCAAATCACCATTGAATCACCAACCTTGATGAGCATGGGAATGAAATGAGCTTGGTGAGATCAAAGCAAGACTGGTCGAGGTCCTTGCGGACAATGTAACCGTGCACTTGTTTGATTCGGTGGAGGTCATTGCAGTCATGAGCAAGAGAGATGAGTTGCGATTCCATCCAAGAGCTTTCTGTGTTGACGTTGGGAAAATGGAATGAAGGGTTGATCAGGTTTTGGTGTTTGTTGTTGAAATGAATGTGTTGGGATGAGAATTCAAGGCCTTGTTGTTGTTGTTGTTGTTGTTGAGCATTTATTGTTGTATTGTATTTGGTTTATAAATTTTCAGAGGAATTTGAAAAGGAAAAGAGAAAAAGTAAATTGATGTGAAATTGAGGGATTTGAAAAGGGCAAGACAAAAAGGTAAATCACCTACATTTTCTCTTTCCTTTTCCTCAAATCTATAAACCAAACACACCTTAATTAAATCCTTTCTCAACTTAATTTTCACTTCATCCAAATTATTTTCCTCACCTACTTATGTTCCACTTAATCTAAATTATTTTCTCATCTCCTAATAATTTTCATAGGTGACATAATTACCAAAATATTCTTAATAATAATCGGGTAAAGTATCCATTAATATTCACATTGAAAGAGAGTGAGTTTAATTATGTTAAAATGATGAAACTCATTATATATTTTTTAATATTTCAAGGGAGGTAACCCTTAAAAATAGAAATACTCTTTCAACTTTCTCCATAAACATTCCAATTTCCAGCTATAATGTTGTCAAAAAATATGCATGAACAGTTGGCCAACTTTTCACTATTTGACTTGTTTTGCATTTACTTTTCTTTTCCCTTCGCAAATTGTTCTCCGAATTTATGATCCAAACACGAAATGCAAACATTGCTTCAACAAATGAGCAAGGGCAAAACTTAATGAGAGAAAAATTGTCATTTCAATTCCAATGAGACTCCAGCATTCCCCAAAATCGAATTACAATTTAAGAGACTCCCAATTCGCCTTTTAGGACAATCAAACATGCCCTTACTAGATTACCATTCAACACTACACTGTTTATCCACAAAAAAGTTCAAATCTAAGCTATTAGTGACACTATTAGCTTCTATTATAAAACAAATTGACTCAATTACAATGAGAAGAAACCATAAAAATCAGAAACATGCGATAGAAATTCATCTTCAAACAACAGAGCATCGATGAACAAACAAAATTTAATTAAATATTATTGGCATCCACCAAAAGACTCCTCGATTGTCACATCAGAACTCGCACTTGAAATATGTTACAGCTGTGTGAATTACTTCTAACTTACAGTCGTTGCACAATAATCATTCAACCAGCCTGGCCAATGCAAAACTTGAATGGGGATTTACGGACATCAACAATTCTAATACAACAAGATCTCTTGGATTGATTTTCTTAAGACCGGGTTCAATAAAACCTGCATGAGATGAGACACAGAGAAAATCACGAGTTCGGTAGATGTAGTATACACAAAACAAACTAAGAGACAACGAAACCGGTCTTTACCAGGGGAAAGTTTTCTTCCACCATAGAGCTCTTTGGCTAACGGATTGGCTGCCCAATGATTAACAGCCACCCGGCTTGTAGGTTGGAACCCAACAATCTTTCCATCAGTGGATAGAACCACCTGAAGTTTGACCGGGAAGGCAAAAAGGAAAGTCAATCATTGATGACAGGTTATGGAGCATTAAAAATGCAAAAAAGGGCAAGTCCTGCAGGGTTCTCCCTGGTATTTTATTAACACACGATTTCCACTGGAAACATTGTCCAAGCATATCTCAATGGAAGATTAAAATATGGGACAGATTAAGGCTACAAAGGTACACATTAGCAAAGCTTCAAACAATTCACTGGCGCCTCCAAATAGTTGGTTCCACCACATGTCTCTGTGAGAAAGTTTTGTCTTCTTCAGTTTTTTGTTTTTTCAAAAATTGTCCTCCAATTTATGGTTAAAGTTGTATGAGCTATTGAATTTGCAGGCAATAGTTATCATGCCATTGACCTATGGAAGGTTTAGGAAATTTACAAAGACAATAAAGAAGAATGGCCCAGAAGCACATCTTTATAACTAGAAGATCATCACCCTAGTTCAAGAACACAATCTAAGATGGCATTTTCGAAGAGTAAACCAGAGGATTAAATTAACACAAAAAAAAAATACAACAACAACAACAACAAACATGAGTCTTACAAGTCAGAGTTGAGGGCACACTGCGTGTGTACTGGGTTGCACCTCCTCTTGTGGTGCTGTTTTTTTTTTTTTAAAATAAAAATTTATCAATAAAAAAAAAGGAGTGTTTTGACAACAGTGATAACTATTAAAATCACAAAGTCGAGAATTCACAGAAGTTTAACTGTGTTGTAGATAGAAAACTGAAACCAACACGTGAGTAGTGTAGCATTCTTAAGAAGACACCCCCACCTCTCCTTTCTTCCTTTAAAATTCTTTCAGTAAACAAGTAAACCAGAAAAGCAAGAGATGAAATAGAAGAGGGAGGCAGGGAAGAGTGTGAATGCCAATCATTCAAGATAACAAAACAGAAAGAGTTTCTTGAGCTTGAAAAGACAACTATTTTGACAATATTAAAAAGGGGAGGTCAAAAAATTTGTTGCATCTAGATCATATTTGAATTGACAACGCTTACAAGAAGTTCATCATGATAATGCTTATGCCAATAAAGATTTCTGTAATGTGCTTTTATCTGAAATCAAACCAAACCAAACTAAGCCTTGTGTCATAATCAAGTGGGGTCCACTACATTCATAATAAACTGTTACCTAAGAATCAATAAATAAAAGGGTAAAAGGCCACCGTAAACTCAACATTTTATACACTAAAAGCAGGATCCAGAAACACACAAACTAAGAGATCCATGAAACTTTAATAATGAGGGACCTCTTACAACTCATTCAAGAACTGCCAAAGGAATACATTTCTAGCCGAAATAATTTTCAACCATGTGGCCATAAAATCACTAACTTGATTTTCTGAAGTATACTAAACTTTAATTGAGCCTAAATATGACGGTCCTTACACCAATCTTAGTAAGCAATCAAAGTTGGTCCATCCACTGGTAATTCTTGGTGACTACTTAAAACAACGAATATGTTTTCCATTGCCACTTAGACAGAGGTATAATAGTTCCAAACTAGATGTGTAAATGATTGTATAGGTTTATATGCAATCTTTCATGAGCATGTGCCCAAGGGGTGTACACGTAGAAATATGACAGAAAGCTCAAAATGCATGGCAAGGAATACTCTGCATAAATAGGGCATGTATTAGCAGTCAGCAGAACACAGCATGCAGATAGCTGAATGACACCAACAAACACACATCAGGGAGTACCTTGCTTTCATAAAGATTTTCTCTCATTGTTCTTCTCTGTTTTCTATCATGTTTAACTAGGATTGGCCACCAAAAAAAGGGGAAAATGTTTAAAAAGATACCTGATAACTTGCAATATCCTGAGTGGATGTCCCCAATTCTTCATCATTCTCCTTTAATGGAGCAGAGCTAGATGGAATCTCTCCAAGGCTCAAATCAGCCTCACCAAGCTTTCTTAAGACTGCTGGAAGTTCACCAATCCAGGCACCAACACTCTTTTCTGTCATTATATTCCCAGGCCAGCCAAAGGCGTCTTTGATTTTTTTCACAATTGAGATGCAAAAATCTTCCAACTACAAAGATGTAGCGTATTAAAGAAAAGCAGACAGAAACTGGAAAAGGAATGAACGACAGTTTACAATAGTGAAAAATAAATGACTGAATATCAAGTTATCAACTAGTAGGCACATGGCTAGCAGCATCAGTCAGAGAAATATGCAATGCAAAACCCTTTGCTGATGAGGAGTACCACTGGTGTAAGACTTCACACAATTATTTTGTTAATTTCTTCCACGGTAGTTTTTTTTGTGTATTTAGTAAACCAAACATTGCATAAAGATAGCATATGCATACCCATTTTTTACTATCCCGAGATCAAGCTTTTTTTTTGGATAACAATAAGCTGAATTTCCATGGGGTTTGGAGGATCATGCATAATAACCTCACTTCACTTCACAATTTCTTCAGGATTGGCACCATAAGCAATCCAGAGTGCAGAACATCAGCAAACACAGTATTCTTTGAAAAAATAGTCGTGCAACTTGCTTTCTGGATGCTTAGTTCTAGGCTTTTATTTGCACCTTTTTTACATGCCAAAAAATTAAGGTGTGCCATATCTGAGGGTGTCACATGGATTAAATAACATGTATTAACCCCTCTATGGAAATTAGAAGATGCCATCACTATCATGCATCACTCTATCCAACTGGGAACTCCTTCAGCAACACTCCTGTTGCTGGGAACTCCTTCAGATGCATTTGTTCTGAACTTATGACAGCAGAACATTTCAATGCCCTGCCAGCAAGATGGACCACAAACTCAATTTCCAGGGAATGGACAATCACAAGAAGAATCACTTTCATGGCAAAACCACCCACATCCCTAATTAGATGGGTTTGGTAGAGGGGGTTGCAAGTTTAGGAAGGATCAAATGAGAAGTAACCTACCCCTACACCATGCCACACCTGTTATATAGCTATTTGCATAGTTGTTCCAACAATTTTGAAATTATTTTTCAACAATTATTGAAAACCTAGGTTCAATTACTAATAAGGATGGTGAGGTTGGAGATAATGTGATAAATAGAATAAAAGTAAGTTGGCTCAAGTGGCAGAGTGTGTCTATCATAGTGATCGATGAATACCAAAAAAATTGAAAGATCAAATGTTGGGCAATAAAAAATAATACATTCATAAAGTGAGTGCAGTTGAAATGAAAAATGTTTAGATGGATGTGTGGTAAGATCAGGAAAGATAGATTGTATGTCTCCTACCTGATCTATTGGTAGTCTTACTTCAATTACTTATTTATAGTGAATTTACACATCTTTTATAATGAGCTTGGAAACCGGCAAATTTATAACTGCCAGATTAGTGATTCCTTCACGCCCAGTAGGTGTGAAACCTCCTTATCTTATTTTAAGCAGCATAAATTGCCTTTTTCTTTGCTGCTACAATGAAACCTTCAAATTAGAAGAAGCTTTCCTCTTTGGCTTTGAAGCTACAATTTCAAAGAGTACTTATTCCCAATAACTAAAAAGTGTAGCATTGGGGTTCGTAATTGAAAGGACCTCATTGGTAAGTGCTACAAGATCTTGTGTTGAGCCAAAGCTCTTAAGGGATGCCATTCGGCAATGCCAATAAAGACTTCTCATAAAATCTAAAAATAAATATATATTTCTAAAATGGTAGGAGTAACACAAATTGAAGATAAGTTGAGAGAAAACAGGATAAGACAATTTGATCATGTACAATGCAGACCTGTAGAAGGTAACAATAAAGAAAGTCATATGACCACCATAAATGGCAATGGTAGGGGGAGGGTAGACCTAAATAGACAAAGTATGCGGTAGTAAAAAAATATATATATTTTATTTAACTTAGTTGAGTTAGCCCTTGACAGAATAGCAAAAAATGATTCATGTAACCAACCCCACTTGATTGTGACATTAGACTTAGTTTGGTTTGGTTTGCAAGTATTGGTGAGGCAATCATAACCCTTTATTTGCACTGATATAATGATGAGGGTGTTTATAAACACACAAAATTTCAGTTAAACATCAGGATGGGACAACATACTTGCTTATCTATTGATAAGGAATCTGCATTGGGCATCCTTGTTACTACTTAAAGAACCTTTTTCGTTTTTTTTTTTTCCGCCAACCATGAGTAATGAATAGGTTATGCATAAACAAAGAAGAACGACATATTGCTGCATCGCGGCTGCACCTCAAGAGAACTTGCAAACCATCTTTATTCTAATTCTCCAAGCACAGCAGCTACTTCAAGCCATTTGTGCAGTGTGCATAAAACACACAAAAATGAGGTATAATAGAAGAAAGTGTAATGGTCACAAGGGATGCATACCTTAGTAGATTCAATATCCCGATGCAGCATATAGTCAATCTCAGATGATTGAAGAGAATGATTTTCGCTGGGGTACTTTCTTCCAGTACGCAAGTAAGGCAGACAAAGTTGACCAAAAATGCTGATGGTAACAAGAAAAAATCCACTTGCAAGAGTAATGGAGAACAATTTCAGCAGTGAAGTGATTCTCTGTGATAATTGGAAGCAATTTAAGCAGTTAACATGAAGTCAATACATTTAACCAAGAGTAAAATCAGACACAATGTGCATTTTCATTTTTCATACCTTATTAGTGAACAAGTTGACAGGTTTTGCAATCGTACCACGTAGTTGTTTACTTGGAAGTGTGTACGAATCGTCATAGTACATGTCTAGAATGTTAGCCAACCCAACCTGCAAATATCTTGCATGAGAAACGTGACAATGAAAAGAGCATCAATCCAACATGACACTGTTATCAACCTAAGTCATTTTACTGTTATCAACCTAAGTAATTTTAGTGTGTATATACATAACACAATGTAACTATATTTAGCAATCAGGTTCCATCAACACTGACCTCAAAAAATAGACACATAATATATCCAAAAGAAATAATTCTTGTCCACTGATGTGCATTTGAAAGTCGTTCACAAATCGTCATTCTCATCCTATTTTGAACAACTTTATGCTCAAGATCTCCAAACTTTCATTTTTTTTATTAGCTTTTGTTTATTTGCAAGATGGTAGACATGCACACTAGAATGGCCCCTTAAATTTTTGAAAGTTTAAAATTGTTTTGAAGTTAAGACTCAAAGCTCTAAATGATGTATAATAACATATCACTCATATGATATATATCATACAGTTGCTAAGGACAATAGCATTGCATAACTTTGCAGCTATTTTTTTTAGTGAATTGCTGGAAAATTTAAAAACTGTCTGCCATATTAGACAGAAGTGGAATGAACAAGGTTTTAAAACGCAGCCGCAACCGTTACGTAACCCATTACGGCCACTATAGCGTTGTGACAGAAAGTCACATGTGTAACGGCCGTTTCAGTATTACATAACGGCGGTAGTGGTACCGTAATGGCCATAACGGTCCATTAGACACCGTTACACCCTTTTACAATATATTCTAAATAGCTTCATTTTCCCAAAAAAAAAAAACAAAAACTTACAAAAAAATAACAAATACTCAAGTGATCCAAATCCAAAGAAAAAATCTTATATGAATTTTTTTTCTTTATAATTTTTTTTAAATTTATGGCACAATTAGTTCAGGTATTGGTAAAAAATAATTTGTAGACATTTAAAATCAATTATTCTTAAAATCATTAACAATTGAAACTTAGTTGCAGGAATCGTGCAACCAAGACATGAATCTTCGTAAGAAATGCGATTCCGCGGTTCTTAGAAAGAAACGTGTAAGCATCGCGTTTCTGTAGAGAGAGAAACGCGATCTTGTCCAAGATGGGATCGTTGGTGACTGTGAACAAAAACCCTAACTTGTTGGTCAACAAGGAGAGAGGGGAGAAAGAAGGTGAAGTACCTGAAGGTCAGATCGTCCTGCTTCTTTGCTTCATTTTTCTTCTCTCTCTGGCAGATCGTCTCTCTCTCTCTCTCGCTCTCGCAGATCTTCTCTCGCAGATCTTCTCTGGCAGATCGTCTCTCTGGCAGATCGTCTCTCTATGGCAGATCGTCTTTCGTCTCTCTCTCTCGCAGTTCGTCTCTCTCGCTCGCTCTCGCAGAACGGCATCGTCTCCTCCGTCTTTGCCTTCTCTCACTCGTGCTCTCTCTCTCGCCTGATATATATGATTCGTACATATATAAGTATAAAACATATATCTTTATATATATTATATACGATCTGGTTCAAAATATATATATATATATATATTATATAAGATAAAACATATATCTTTATATAAATATATATATTTAAAATATATATATATATATATATTAACACATTATTATTTAATATATGTAATAAAAAAACATTAATTAAAAAAATAAAAATATTAATATATATAATTTTATAATATATATATATAAACAAAAACATTAACACATATAAATATAATATATATATATATACATATATGATATATATATATATATTACCGCTCCCCGAGGCGCTCCCAACCTAAGAAACTTCTATCGGCTCACGCTTCCCCGCTCCCGCCCCTGCTCACGCTTCCCCGCTCCCGCCCCTGCTCACGCTTCCCCGCTCCCGCCCCTGCTCACGCTTCCCCGCTCCCGCCCCTGCTCACGCTTCCCCGCTCCCGCCCCTGCTCACGCTTCCCCGCTCCCGCATCGGCTCACGCTTCCCCGCTCCCGCCCCTGCTCACGCTTCCCCGCTCCCGCCCCTGCTCCCGCTTCGTGCAACTAAGAATTGAAATAAAATGTAAAACTCTTTTTACAGTGATTTGAAAATATGAAATATATTGGATCATACTTAAAAAAATTAATAAAAATTGATCAAAATTTATTTTAAACTCCAATAAATATGATTCTGAAAAGAAAAAAAAAAAAATATGCGTATTGATAAGTTTTCTTCACATTGTGCGAAAAATAAAGAATCACGGTTCCGGTTACTGCAACCGTTACGTTACGGCCTTTATACCCCGCAACCACTACCGCGTCACCACAACCGTTACGGCAACCGCAACCACAACCGCTTTTCAAAACCTTGGGAATGAAGTATCATATTCCAAAACTATATTAATTGATATCATAAAATTTTTAATATATCTCAGAGTGATTGGCACTTATTTGGTCAAGTACATGAAAATAACTTATTGCAAACTTCAATTCCCATTTATAAGGGGTTTTTTTTCTCCTTTGGCTTATTATTTTGGTTTTCTCAGGTCAGTTTAAGAATTAAATGTACCTTACAAGTTACAACACACAATAAACAAAATATATCAGATTCTACACATGATTTGATGAATGGACAAAAAAAAAAGAAAAAAAAAATGCAAGTAAATATGACCAAACCAACAAGAATGATGGAAAACAAAGCTAGAAAGAGAATGTCAGATAAGGAAGCGTATAACAACAACAGCATGCACATTTGCCCCTACTTGACATCCTAGAAAGCCAACACTCATTGAGGTCCAAAAATGAAGGAAAGAATCAAGTACCATTTGAAAGTGGGTCAGAAGGACTTCCCATCTATTCTCAGCAGATTTTTTCCAACCTTCAAACTTTACATTGTGAAGTCGATCAGTGTCAATTTGAAGCAGATAAGCAGGTACATACTCGTTAATCCATGTAATAAACTCAGGACCACCAATCTTTTCTAATTTAGAATATATTGGTAATGTCCACCATGAGTAATTCACATTTGATTGCAAAGGCTTGTAATTGCCCTTTTCCGAGTTAAAAGTTTCAAGCAAACTTTTAGCACTTGCAATAATCTCATCGTCAAATAACTTATATATGGTAACTGATGAATCTGTTGATGCAATCCTTTCAGGCTTGTGAAACCAGTGGAAAAAGTTATTTGATGTTCTTCCCAGAGAGTTACGAAGAAAATGTCTTTCAGTGCTTTCAAGAGCAGCAAGGCAAACAACTTCTCCAAGCAAAGAAATAACCAGTTCATCTGATGAGCTAAGGGCAAATGATGCAGTGACCTGCTGATAGGAAAGGAACAAGAGAACTCAACCTATCAGTATCACACAGCACCTGCAGGACAGACATATTAAACATGATATTACAGCAGAGAAAAGCACATGTCTGAAAATAAAAATGCATACAAGAAAACTGAATTATATCTAACCTCTCTAGGATTTTGAAGCTCCTTCATATTTCTTTCAGTTCCAGGTCTAAACAATACCAGTTCAAAATTCCAAAGCTGTTCCATAACCACTTGTCTAAATGTCATGGCAAGTATATTCCTAGATGTAGTGTTGGAGAGGATATCTTCAGTGAGATAACTTTTGAGCTTTTTGGCTTTCTCTTTAACTTTTCTAGCTGGCAAAAACTATAAAAACAAGAACCTTTAGAAAATAGTTGCAAGAAACATGTCCTTATATCACATGATCAAGCAGATGATATAAACAAAAATAGCTACTTACAACATGCGTCATATGTTTTGTATTAAATAAAAAAAGCCCCCGAAAACTGACCCACCTGTTAACAGAGCCTAAGAGCGTGCAAAGTAATACTCTTCTCAAATAAGACATCGAGGATTTAATGATAAACTTGTGATCGTTATTTTTAGACCTCGAGCAATAATTGATAAAAATACCACATCATTGCAATGTGACTAAGAAGAATTCTCTTATGAAGTTGATATAAGATACATATATCTATGCCAGACAGGTTCCAACACCTAACACCTACGTAGAGATTGTGGTATAAGATATATATAAACAAACACACACATCCGACATTTACTGCGCATAGATACAAGTTAATTCCTGCTTACTTACTTAGCGGCATAGTTTTTGACAGTCACTGCTTCAACTTTGAATGAAGGAACTAGTTTCAACATAAACCAATTACATCCGATAACAGATGGTGATAAATTTTTTGTTCGCCCCCTAGTAGTTACTATGTAAATCCCCACTCCGTTCAACACTTCAAACAATATGACTGTGATTCTATCATAGTATCACCTATCTCGGCCAATTATCTGAAAACATTTACAGTTGTTATGATCAAAACAAGGCAGCTACTTGAGTAAGTTTTTCATGCACCAACCCATATGGTAGAAGGCCCAGTTCATACAATAAAAGTATAAATAAATTTATACTTTGCACTCACTTCCTCAACAACAAAACAAAGCATAATTGCAAAAAAGCTTTTACCATCAAAGTCAGCATAATATTAGGGCATCTCCAACCCGTAATTCAAACCTATTTGAGATTGAAATTTGGGTATAAATCACTTAAAAACCTCAACACTCCCTGACACAAACTTCTATAAAATTGAGTTTTAACTAATTCTTTTACCTAAATCAACATAGACTCAAATGTTAATTCAATATTTTTTAGACCATTTTGAAGCTTTCGAATTTACCACTCTGTCATTATTAAAGCTCTTAAATCTATCTTATTCTTTATATAATAATATTATAAAGGGAAGGCTTGAGTTAGTGTTTATGTCTCATATTTTGAGTTTTCCCAAAATAAGTTATGCCCTAAATTCAATTTATTTTTTTCCAAATCTCTAGACTTTTGATCTTTTCAAATTCATTTAAATTTTCAACTTTTGAATTCAATCACAAAATTTACAATCTTATTTGCGGAAACAAAATGATCATATGTGCATGCATCAAGTGTACCACGGCTTCAAATTTATATTAAAATCTAATCCATTGGAGTGATTTGTATCAAATAAATTTTTACTCAAATTTGAACTCATATGGATTGAAATGAATGTGAATGCATATATATACATAAATTTTTATAAAATCTAAGTAAGCTTAAAGAATCAGAAAAGCAAGAAAATGAACAGACCAGTCGTGTCGAGACGGTGCTACGCTCGTCGGGAGGGCCAGGAAACACGGTCTCCACAACCATCGCCGGCATGCCGGAAGCAATATGTTCGGCGGCGGTCTCACCGCCGTCTGCGGCGGCCGCCGTTAACGCCTGCTCAAAATCCACGGCTCCAACCAGCGTAAGCCGAGCCAAGTCGTTCTCGTAAGTTCTCACGCCGGGAAGCGACTTTCCGTCGGACTCCGCGACGGCTTCGAGTATGTCCTGCTCGGTCGCCGGAGTCGACTTCGGAGCCGAACATGCGAGGACTGGACAAGAATTTCCAAGAATTCTGAGGCGTATTTTGGGAAATATTGTGAGGTTTTTGGAGGAGACAGACTGGCGGTGAGAGAGATGGAAGGGAGTAGATGTAGAGAGAGATTGAATAAACGCCATTGATGAGGGTTTTTCGAGCTCTGAAATGAAGCTAGGGTTTTATTTTTGAAATGAGAAAAATTTTCGTTTTGCCCCCTCAAACTATCACATTTATCGTTTTACCCCTAGACTATTCTAATCTTAATCTTTAGACCCTCACCTATGAAACTAGGGTTTTTTGGGAAGTGGGTTAGTAGTTGTTTTTAACGAGTCCGGATCCTCTCCTGCCAAAGCCTCCGGCCATTCCTCCTGTCAAGGGCCAGGATTTGGCCACGTCAGCAGGACTGGATCCTACGGCTCAGATCAAGTTTGGTTTAAAAAAAAAAATTGAATTTCTTTGTATTCAACACAGCCACAAAGCTTCATTCCGATTCACTTTTTTCCCTCCCTCTTCAGCTTTGGTGAACGGCAATGGTATCTCGTGACACCGATAAGGGCGAATCCAAGTCAGCAGCAAACATCGGTAGGTTCTCCCTTTCTCCCTCTGTCTTACTCCAAAGATTTGGATTGTGATTTGAGCCGCGATTGAAGCCGCGAACCATAGTTAAAGGTAAAAAAAAAAAAAAATGTTGTTCCCCCCAAATAATCTCGGCCATTTCCCGTCCTTCACCAGAGATGAAGGAAATCTGAGATGGAGAGACTACCATTTTAGGTTGAAATGTTTAGTGAAATGAAAAAAAACTGAGATGGTTGTTTTCTGGGATTAAAATTTTCTCGTCCCTTTAGGTTAAAATGTCCCGTCCTTCACCACAGATAAAGGAAATCTGAGATGGAGAGACCACCATTTTAGGTTAAAATGTTTAGTAAAATGTTCTCTTGTAAGTTGTATAGTTTTGCTAGGATTAAAATGGTTGTTTATCTAAGAGACACTGTGATACCCCAATTCTAAAGCAAGCTAGTTTTGCTGGGATTAAAGTGGTTGTTTATCTAAAAGCCACTGTGATGCCCCAATTCTTCTTTGATTTGTTTGTTAATTTTTTTTATTATTATTATCATTTTGATTGATGACTTAATTTGTGATTATTTAAATATAATTTGAATATTCTCTCATTGAATTGCTGATCTGAGAATTATACTTGAAAGCCTAGTTGACATACAAATATGAATTTATGTTCTAACATCAATGATCCAGTATTATGATTCAAAATTAGGCCAGGTGAGAGATTGGGAATTCATTAGGTTAATGGGGTTGTCTCTGTTTTTGTGGAGTTTGCAGTTGGAATTTTTATTTTAATTATATGTTATTATGTTTAAATAAATGTGTATATTGTGCATTGAATGTTAACATAGCATTTCACAAGAAAGTATTGAACTCCACAGATATTCTTCCATAAAGGCCTTGGGTTGGATATTTGAAAGTGTTTTCTAGAAAATGAAAAAAGAAAACAAAAAAACAACCAAACAACCAAACAAATGTTCTACTTCCATAATTCACCTAATAGCAGAAGGGTGTTTTTTATATTCTATTGATTCAGCAGTGCCAAAGAAAGTGTTCATGTGCAAACTGAAACATCCACAATGGAGACAAAACTCATAAGCTGCTATATTATGTGTTCATATGCAAACTGAAACATCCACAATGGAGACAAAACTCATAAGTTGCTATATCATGCAACTCAAATTTATTGTTCTATTAACTAAAAAAGAATAGTATTGTTCGGTAAGAGTTCATGAACTCAAACATTTATACTTTTGTAGTGTATAACATTTATACTTTTGTACTGTAAACAAATTTTCCTAAGAGATGTCTTCATGTGCTTTGCTATTTGATAATTTTTTGTAGGTTAATGTCAATGTCAAGCACAAATGCAAGTATGGACAACATTCATGAAGTTAGATTCGACAACCGTAATTGTCGATGTGGCAAAAAAGCTATGGTTAAGATTTCTCAGTCAATGGATAATCCAAATTGCCTTTTTTTTGTATACCCTAATTCACCGAATGGTTGTAAGTTCTTTGAGTGGTGGATCCCTCCACATATGTGGCATAATTTGAAGGTGGTCGAGAATGATATTCTTGAAAAGCACATGGAAGTCTTGTCCACTCTTAAAGAAGTAATTATCGTGAATAGGGAGCTCAAAGACATGACTATGAAGAGTAGAAAACAATATAGAGACTTGGCAATGGTGATTGAAAGAGTTGGTGAAAAATTGAATTACGCCTTTGCCTTTTCTTTTTTTTTTTGTTGTTGGTGGTAGTTGTCATTCCAGTGTATTTGAAATAGTGTATATAATGTAAGGTAGAATGAGTATGACTTGAATTGTAGGTTGAATGTATATGTAATGTATGGTAGACCACTACCATTTTGTTCAAGTGGTCATGAATGTAATGGCTTTTTTGTTTGATGAAGTGGCAATGATTTATTTGCTTAAGAGTTGAATGTAATGGCTTGTGACCTGCTTGTGAATGAGTATGAATGAGTTTTTTAATTCCAGTATCACATTCCAAAACATATAAGTGATTTTTTAATTTTTTGTGTAATTTTTTAATAGTCAAAACAAATGTTTTGGAATGTGATACTAGAATTAAAAAAAAAATCACTTACTCTTTTAATTTATTGTTAGTAATTCATACTCTCTATATGTTTTTAAAAAATCACTTAAATGTGTATTTTTCTTTTAATTTTTTGTTAGTAATTCATACTCTCTATATCCTTTTTTATTTTTATTTTATTATAAGTGTTTTGGAATGACTTGCTTGTGAATGAGTATGAATGAGTATGAAAGTGACCTGCTTGGGGGCAAAAGTACGAATTATTTGTTGGTTGAGAACCTGTCTGTGAGCCTTCGGAATCTTGAAACCCAATGTCATACTCACCTTGAAGTAGTGTTATAAATGTTGGTTGAGTACAATATGCCAAATTGTTTGCCTACAATTCATTCATATTATATTACGATTCATAACAAGATGCAAATGAAAAATTAATTGACAAATCACAAATTAATTGGCTAAAAATCTGACTCACATTATATGTGGGATATATTAATGGAGGAGAAATTGTACCACCCATGGCAACAGAATGAGGAGGAGGAGTGGGAGCAAGAGGAGGATGAAGAGGAGTAACATTTTCATGAATACTTACATCTCCTCCAATAGATAATGGAGAAGGTCTCACTGTTGCAGCAGCAACAGGTTTTGAAGATCTCATAAATTGTGCACGGGATTTCTTTTTGAAACTTGCTTGCAATGCCAGCTCATATGGACCTTTTATCCTTCTTTTGCCCTTACTAGTTGGATGCTTTTTCTTCAATCCTATTGGAATTTGCAGAACATGATTGTTGTCTTCAGAAGGCACTTCCAAGGTTTGAGGTTGATCATCAATACTTACTTCTTTTTCGGTACAAAAATGTGCACTTATCTTGCTTTCAACATGTGCACCTAATACAGCGACTTGTGAACAACAAAAATCATGGGTTCGTTTGGTTTGTATTTCTGAAAAAATTTTGGAAAATTTTCTCTACAAATAAGTTTTTAAAAGTAATCAAACCAAACAAATTTTCCCAAATTTTTTTTTCAAAACTTGTAAACCAAACAAGTTTTCCAAACAAATCTCTCTCTCACACACATCAAATCAATCACTTTTTTCAAAACTCTCTCTCAAAATAATTTTTCAAAACATCTTTTGAAAAAAATCAAACCAAACAACTTTTCGTACTTTTTATCTCTAAAACACATCTCTCAAACACAAACCAAACATACCCCATAAGTTTCCTCAGTTTCAGCAGCTCTACATGCTATTGATCTAAATGCGGTCATCAATGTCTTATACCGTGAGGCTTGTTTGAATTCGACATCTACTTGAATCTCATTTCCCAACTTGTCCGTCACAACTTCTCATCTTGCTTGTTTGGTCCACCTCATCATAATGTATTGTAAAGGAATCTCTTTCAACTTCAATATTTCTCTCATAACCTTCAAACAGTGACTGCACAAAATCACTTTCCTTTCCAACTTTGAACAACTACAAGCCAAAGAGCCAGCCATCTCCATTTTCATTTTCCTTGCATTTTTTCCAATAACATTAACAATTGTGTATAGGCTACAACCATCAACATATTCAATTGCTTGTATGTCTCATTCAACAAAAAGAAAATACTCATCTTGAAACTTCTCAAAAATATTTTTAGTGTACACATTACCCATTTGACTTAACATTATGAAGGTGCTCTCACCCTTGGCAACCTTTAGCATAAAGCATATCCAGCTTTTAACTCTTTGTACCGCTTCTCACAAAGTACCCTTTCAAAATGCATGAAGAATTCATTTAAATTAAAATCAGAACGAATGTAATCCTTCAAAAATGCATTAAAAGATTCACTAAGTTGTGTTGTACTCACTCCCGCAGCCCATGTTGATCTAGCATATGGCCAGCTCCATTTTTTCTTCACCCCAAAAATCAACTTAAACCAATAATTATCATGAGCATCATATGTATCAAGCATTTCCCCCCACTTCATTTTCCATTCATTTTCATCATCAATATCAAACATGAATCTACCCCCTTATCTTGAAAGAGACAATGACCATGCCTTAATGCATTTTGCATCAAGTGCCAAGTGCACAAACGGTGACTCGTGTCAGGCATGACAATGGGTATGGCCTTAGCCATTGCAGTATCTTGATCGGTAAACAAAGTTTTTGGTGCCTTCTTTGACATAGCCTCTAAAAAAGTTTGAAATAACCATACAAATGTTTCGGCAGTCTCATCATATAACAACGTAGCACCAAAAATAATTGTTTCTCTATGATGATTAAATCCCACAAAAGATGCAAATGGCCTATGCTCGCCAAATTGGGCATAATCCATGATCATTTGTGCATCGGCCCAAAACATATTCGTTATTTGCTCCTCATTGTCTAATTGGAAAGCATAAAAAAAAGATGGATTCTCTAAAGATTTTTGTTAAAAGCATTGCAATACATTACTATACGAGAAAGAAATAAATCTTCTCGTATAATCCTGTTGATCAAGTCTGCGCTCCTCCAAACGTTGTCGCTTTACTCCCTGAAAACACAAACGTGAGCTAGCCGGCGGGTGTGTGCCGGAAACCTCTCCGATGCCTAAGTC